GACGATGGGCTCCATTAAACAGCAGCAACAAGCGAAGAAAGGGAAGATCTGACACAAACGCGCAGGAAACACGCGCGCCACTACGTGTTCGAGATACTTCATGAAAGTAGACAGAAGAAACAACAAAAGTAAAAAAAAAAGGGGGGGGGTTCAATATGATGTGTTTGTTTGAGGGGTGGGAGAATCAGTGTGACTAAGAGGAAGAGGACGTCAGTCCACGTGTGCCGCCCACACGCCTCGATGCTCAATGTCATGCATGGCGAAAGCGACAGACAATGACGATGCAAGGTCGACGCAGCGCCATCACCTAGAGTGAAGCAGCTGTGGAAGCGACGCACACACGTACACGAAAAACTCCAAAAAAAAAAAAAAAAAAAGACACACGAGAATGCTTATCCTCACACAATCACAACTCACGACTCACGACACTCAACCACAATCACAACTCACAACTCACGACAACGACGACGACGACAACAATAAATCAGACAAAGACGAGTGTGCCGATGCTGTTCTGCCGCGCGTGGCGTTTCCGCCGCTCCTCCTCCGTCTCTGCAGCGCCATCGCCATCAGCCAAGCGCTGTGATCGTGTGCGCGATGCACGTGCGGACACAGCGGCGCGTGTGGCGCTCGCTGTCGTGGACGTGGATGTGGTTGTGGTTGTGGTTGTGGATGAGGAAGACGAGGAGGACGGGAAGTGGTGTTGCTGCTGCAGCACTGGCGAGGGCAGGGCAGTGCTAGTTGGCGTTGCACTAGTGATGGAAGTGGCGTCTGCGTCGCGTGCGCCCGTCAGCGTCACCTCCTCCCCATCCCGGGGCTGCGCGGCGCTGCTGAGGTACTCTGGCAGAGTGTTTTCCTCCGGCTGACCATACCGCGCCTGCATGCTGGCGATGCTCGCCACGTACTCGTCGTGGTCGTAGGGGAACGTGCCGCCGTTCTCCTGCAGGATCTGGTCCTCGGTGAAGTGCTGGCGCAGCTGCGGGTATCCGCCCGGCAGCAGCTTCATGCGCGACTGCATCTTGCGCGACATGAAGTGGCGCACAATCGGCCACACAAACCGCATGAACAGCGGCGGGTTTACCGCGTACACGCAGCCAAAGCGCAGCGGGAGCTTGTTGGCAAAGGCGGAGAAGAGCTCCCGTGGCACGCGGCTGTCTGCGTTGGACATCTTCGCGCCAGTCATGTCGTTGACAAACACAATGCCGCGGGCCTGGCTCTCGGGGTGGTTCCGCAGCACCATCTCAATGGCGGAGTGCACGGTGCGCACGGCGTAGCGTGGCGGCCACCGCTTGGGGTCTGTCAGGCACAGGCGGATGGTGAGGACATACCGGCCCTGCTTGTCCTTGTTGCCGCACGCCCGCACGCCGCCGCACTCAATGGCGGCCTTGAGCTCGGGGTCCGAGTGCATGGTGTACTCCTCGATGCCGTACTCTTCCCGCCAGACCATGTAGTTGCGCACAAGCTGGAGGGAGCGCTGCATGTCAAACTTGCGGGCGCGAAGGCAGGCAAGCTGCCAGAAGGGCCCCGCCTTCTCAAACAGCGCGTCGCCTTTGCCAAGCTCCTGGAACTCGCGGAACTTGACCTTTTCCGCCTCGGAGTTGAGCGGATACACCAGCTGGCCATCGGCGACCTACAATAAGCGCAACCGTGTGCGTGTGTGTGTGTGTGTGTGTGTGTGTATGCGTGAGAACATGTGGGGGCTGGTAGGAAGGCAGATCTCAGGGATGGTAGTAAGAAGATTTAAGAGGGAGCGCGATTCAACACACAACACACAACACACAACACACAACACACGCACACACACACACGACACACACACACATACTGTCCCTTGTCACGCACGCTGTGCACACCTCAAAGTCGACGCTTCTTGCGACGCGGGAGAAGCCAGAGATGAGATCTTTTGATGTGCGGGGGGACTTGTCCAAGACTTTGTCGATGTCTGGATCTTTCCCCACTTGCGAAGCAGTGGAGGAGGACGACGATTGTCGTCGCAGAAAGGAGGCCATGGTGCGGGGAAGTGGATAAGGGAAAGGGAGGGCTGCTGCTCTTGCGTTCTCGTCACGCTGCGCTGCCGTCCAGAAAGGAAATACAAAAAGGAAGTTCACTCTCGACTTCAGGCAGATGATGCGAAGAGGACAACGGTGGAAAAGAGGGGGGCGTGTGTGTGTGTGTGTGTGTGTGTTGCTGCAGCGATATGACGCCAGGTGGCACAGCGCGCGACAAAAGCAAGAGCCACAAAGAGCAAGCAAGCGAGTGAGCGAGTGAGTGAGTGACGGGGGGGGGGACCAAGAACTCAAGCAACGCTCTGCAACGAAAACGAAGAAGGAACGGCGGGAAACAAAGCACTCTCTCGCGTGCAAAGGTGCCGCCAATCAAAAACCAGCAACACCACGCGGAATCAAATCAAATCAATCAATTGATTCGAAATCCTTTGGCCTTTGCCCTCCTTGCTTGGCCTAAACACAATCACGCGAAGTGTGCTTGCCGCTGCCGCCGGTGGTGGTCGTGATGTGATGCGATCACTTTCCGCTTTCGTTGGCTTGCTTGCTTGCTTGGTTGTCGTTGATTGTGCTTGCTCAGTCGCATGTGGGGGAAGGCGTGGTGCGGCTGTTGTTGTGTTTTGTTGTGTTGTGGCGTGATTTGGCACTGCAATTTTGCCTTTGAATTGCACAAAATCAGCACAGCAAGGCAAAATTGACTTTCTGGGAACGTTACTTTACCGCGGGAAATTCGAAAACAGGCTGACAAGACGTGCGACTCTGACTCAGAGTGGACCAAACACACACACACACACACACACACACACACACACACACACACACACACACACACACACACACACACACACACACACACACACACACACACACACACACACACACACACACACACACGACGGACGG